AAGTCAGAATTCTGAGAAAAAGTCATAATTCTGAGATTAAAATCATAATTCTGAGGAAAAAAAAAATCATAATTCTGAGATTAAAGTCAGAATTCTGAGAAAATAAATACATAATTCTGAGATTAAAGTCAGAATTCCAAGAAAAAAATCATAATTCTGAGATTTAAGTCAGAATTCTGAGAAAAAAATCATAATTCTGAGATTAAAGTCAGAATTCTGAGAAAATAAATACATAATTCTGAGATTAAAGTCAGAATTCCAAGAAAAAAATCATAATTCTGAGATTTAAGTCAGAATTCTGAGAAAAAAGTCAGAATTCTGAGATTTAAGTCAGAACTCTGACTTTTTGGTCATATTACACTGAAATAAAATGTGAAATCAGTTGTTGTTGTTTTTTTGGTCCTCTTCCGTAATATTTAGACGCGCTTGAGTGTAAATAAATATTTTGAGATCAAAAAATTCATGAAAGATCAGCAAGTGAAATGGAATGTAGTTCCAGCATCTACAAACAGGAGCGCTGCTGAGCAGTGTTGGCTAACCGGTCATATGACCACTGCCTGTTTCCAACTTCCCTTCCTGCTGCAGTTACTGGAAAAACGCAACATCTGACAGGGAGAGAGAAAGAAAACCATCTGTGGAAAGCATCAAGATGCTGGCGCTAATAAATCGTCTTTTGGACTGGTTCAGGTCTCTGTTTTGGAAAGAAGAGATGGAGCTGACCCTGGTCGGCCTGCAGTACTCTGGAAAAACAACATTTGTAAACGTGATCGCTGTAAGTCTTCACAGCGGCTAGCTGCTCTTGCTAGGTTAATGCTAACACGTTTAGCGTTATTAATGATATATTAGAAATCAAAACACTACCTTAAACTCGATGTTTTCTGGCTTCCTTCCGTTGGTAGAGCGGAATCTACAAAAACACCTGCGGTTAAATCACACTGGAGTAGTTGTGCCAACACGTCAGCTAACCAGTTTGCTAGTGTTATGACTGTAGATGCTAAACCCTCCTCCCAGTGTAACAACACAGTCACTTGTGTTTGTCACCTTCGATTTAGGGAAATTTGCAAATATGTTTATTTGTCTTTTTCTTTTTAGTTTAACCACCAGGAAGTTTACAAAAGCATGCTTGCAAGAAGTGAAAGCTGGATGGATTTCACAGCCTGTACTGATCTGAGGAGTAGGTGTTACTTTTGGAACAAGTCAGTAGGAACATGAGGATAGCATTTCACCAAAATAAGCAAATTAAAATAAATGTCGATTGAAAGGATGAACAGTCATGATTTGGTCATCAATTAGTCACCTCTGTCAATTTTGACAGAACCAAAACAAATCTGGATGTAAAAAGATTTTAATCTATTTATCTTCCAGTTCTCAGTTGTCTTTGTGGAAGAAACCATGTCTTGTGCAACTCTTGCAGTGATTTCTCAAATACTGGCTTCTATTTTTGTGGCAATTGTTATTGTCTAATCCTTGCATTCTCTAACCTTTTACCACAAGTACCTTCTAGACTGAAATAACAAAATAAATTTGAAGTATTGAGTTGCATTTCTGCTAGTTTGGGGCTGCAACTAACTATTATTTGACTAATTAATGAATCTGTCAATATTGTTTGCGATTAATTGATTAATAATCAGAATGCAACGGTTCATTCAATAAGATTTTTTACGAAATAAAACCAGGTGAAACTAAAACTTTTCCACTTCTGGATGGCTCATATTGACAGATTAATTTTTTTAAATCTTAAATGCGTGATGTTTTTTTTTTAAATTAATAAATTTTTTTTGTTTTGGTATAATTACTGCTCTTATTGTGTGTCTGTGTCAGCTAAAAGCATATTTTTAGAGTCTCTATACTCGATTACTAAATTAGTTGACGATTGTTTTAATAATCCATTAATCGCAATTAATCTGATTAATTGTTTCCGCCCTATGCTACTTTTCCAAGTTCTGATTTAAAGGGGGAAAAATGACTTTCCAATTGGAAAAATTAGATTGCTCATCAACTCTGACCTTTAAATATTACTTGATTGCCTTGCAAATTACACTTGTTGATAATTTAAGTAAAAACTTTTTTTTTTTAATTTTTAGCAAATTAACAGTGAATTTGAATTGTAAATTGATCAGTTCAGTTATTTGGAGATATACATATTTTTTAGGAATGCACAGACATGAACATTTTAGGCAGTATTGATATATTACTTTTGCTTTTATGGCAATAATGTGTACATTTCTTTGCCATTCCCTCACCTTGAAAAAAAATTAATCACCACACTGACCATGCTTCTCTTCTTTAGCCTAACACTCCACAGTTCTGCTCTGCATCACCATCCCTGTAATGTGTCCAAAGGAAAAAAAACAAAAAAAACACGGCCATTAAACCCTGGAGAGGCAAACACAGGCTTCAACAAATTAGAAATAAACATTGAAATGATCAACAACCG